CTTGACTTGCATTCGCAGGCTTGCTGGACCAACAAATTGTGATGTTGGGCCCGAACTATCGCCACTCCAGTGTGCTTCTCCCGCAGATAGGCGTATTGGGGAACCTGTTGAAGATACCTTTCCACGTACGGCCGCAAACGCTGCTGTAGTATGTGGGAGAGGGCCCGGCCGCTGGCCTCAGTCAACCCGATGGGTCTTAGGTCTCGTGGGGAGACGATCCGCAGCTTTTTCGGTATCAAGACCAACCAGGCATCCTTCCACAAGCCGGGCACGGCTTTTAGGTTTTTAGCCCATTGGGTTAGAGAGGGGGCCAAGAGGTCCGAGCAGCCCTTCCACATCGCTGTCGAAGCTAAGTGGGGTGGCGTGGCTTTATGGGCCAACAAGCTAGACAAGGCCTGCTGAACTTCGGCCTCTGTAACCTCAATGCAGAGCTGAGCCCTTGCCGTGGGTGGAGGCTTCTGAGGGTCTCGCTTGTAGACTTGCTGGTAATGCGCGCGGAGCTGTCGAATTTGCTCCTCCGCCGATTGCAAGTACCCTTCTTGGTTCTTAAGTTGGACCTCGCTCTTCTTCTTCTTAGGCGCCATGGTGCGCATACCTGCGAAGAGTGCCCGCATGTCCTTCCTAGCAGCCGCCTGTTGTAGGTCCTGCAGCCGGTTGCTGAACCATTGTTTGCGAGCTTGCTTACCTGCCTTTCTGAAATCCCGCTGCGCCTGCCTGAACGTCGCGTAGCTGCGCCACACCCGGAGGATAGCTCCGCGCCCTCTCCGGGCTTGGCGCTTCCACTGTGCATACGCCTGCCACATGCCCTTGATCCCAACCTGCATGGGCTGGGTTTGCCACGCTGTCAGCCTCTGCGGGCGGACCTGTGGAGGAAAGACTTGAGAGGCACATCTACACAGCAGGGCGTTCATGGTGGGAGCATCCACGGCCTCTGACAGGCCGGCTGCGACAGCTTGCCTGAAGGCCTGTAGTTGTGGTGAGTGCGGGTTGCGGAGGCTACTTATGAGGTCCCATTGATTTCATTCTCTCCTGGGCTGCTTTGGCTTATTGAGACTGTGAAAACGATGTACTGGGAGACTGCATAGGACTGGGAGATGGTAGCTTCCCTGTCTCCACGCCGCAAGGGATGTCTTGACCGGCTTGGCTGTTTTGGCTCGTTGGTCACACTGCGATTTACGAAGCAAGACATGATCAATGAGGGCCTGACCCTTGGCATGGAAGTAAGTTGCTCCAGCTTGTCTCTGCCAGGAGTTGACTTGGATCATGTGATGGTCCTCAAGGGCGCGAAGGAAAGAGCTTTGGTCAGTAGGGGGTTTGGTGTCCTGCGGAGCACACCTGGGACCTGCACAGGCTCCTTCTCGAAGAGGGAAGTTGAAGTCACCTGCCGCCAGTACCGTGTGTCTCTGCGGCGCCCTCGCAAGCACGGCCTCGAGGGCCTGCCACACTCGATTGCGCAGGGCCCGAACTTCATCGGCGGTGTCCCTTCCCTGGCCGATTTGTCTCTGGTAGACATTGTAGGTGTCGAGTGTCCAGTCTGGCCTTTGGAGACGGACGTGCAGTAGGCGGCCTGGGACCGGGTCAGTGTGGAGTACTTGGCCGGTGCTGCAGAGGCCACGATCAATGAGGGTAACCACTCCTGCTGATTGATTGTCGGTGGCCGGTGACGTAATAACCTTCCATCGTCCCGAATTGAACGTCTGAGCACAGTGGTCGCCCCAATGACTTTCTTGCAGCATGACAACCTGTGGCCTGTGCTGCGGGTCGAGGTTCTCGAAGTAAAGGAGGAGTTCGTCCCACAGGGGTCCTGAGAGGCCGCCGCAGTTCCAACTGAATAGTAGCACCCTGTCCGGGTCCCGGGCCAAGGGCGTCTGCCTGAGGGGTGTGGACTGCTGCCTTGCATCTTGGCTGTGGGCTCCAACATAACTCCTGTGTAGTTGTCTGAGGGTCACGGGCCGGCCTCGGTAGGTGGTGTACTGCTCGGGATGCCGAGCCGCTCTTCTGAGTGCCCGCTTATAGGCTCTCTTCCGAATAGCGGTGTACGCAGCCCGAGGCGGTGGCACACTGCTGGCTGCTTCGCCAATATGCAGATCCTGCTGCTGGAGTGCAGGTGCTGACGTAGCTGGTTGAGCTTGGAGGGCCAGGCCTAGGAGTAAGCCTTGCCACCAGCGGGGCTGCCGTCTTCGCGGTGGGCCTGAGCGCGATGATTGGACTCTGTTGGGAGGTCCGTCGGGGCGTGGGTCTAGTGAGGCCGACGCCGCGTGGCGGCTATGCGCACATGGATCGGGTAAGGTGCGTGAAAGATGGGCTGCGGTCGTGAGTAGTAGTAGTAGTAGCAGCAGCAGCAGCAGCAGAAGTGGTAGTGGCAGTAGTAGTAGTAGTAGTAGTAGTAGTAGTAGTAGTAGTAGTATATAGTAGTAAGTAGTATTCGTGTGTAGTAGCAGCAGTAGCAGCAGCAGGAGTAGTGTTGAAAGGTACCGCCGGGAAACTCCTCTACGTGTATCATTACATGTTTGGCTCAAGTGATCATTGATAGCAGTGTCATTGGTTCATCGTAGCTGAACGACGTGAGATCAAACATTTCTGTAACTTGCGACCACTGGGACCATCAGAGGGAAGACGTCAAAAGAAGGGGTGAGAGCTGCAGTGTACATCCTTCTGAATTGAAGCGGTATTCATATTGGCCAGTCGCCAATCCAGAGGTTATCAGCTATAGGTACTATAGGTAAAATCCTTATAGCTATTGTGAACAATACCGGCTATGTGCCGAGTGTGTTGTCGAGCTCCAAGGGTCTGATGTTTACGTCATGGCCGACCAGCGTGAGATTGGCTCTCAACGGGAACGATGGAGAGAGTGTCGTCGGCAGAGATCGTTGAGGAAAGGTCAATCGAAAGAGCATGCACCGATCAACGGAATCGCAGGGCCCTTCACGTAGGAGATGCGGGAAACCGGCCCCGGTCACGGAACCAAGCAGTTGGGGATCGCCCATACATGCATCACCAGGCTCGGCTTCAAATACGTCTGGCCTGCAGGCGATACATCTGCAAGTTCACGGTAGTGGTCGTGATATGGCAGAGACGGTGAAGCAGCTTGAGTACCATGCTCTACGACCTGCGTTGCCGACGAGTCTTCGAGTAAGGATTGCAACAGTCTTTCAAGCGAGTTGAAAGAAGTGCAAGAAAAACTGCGTCATGTCGGAAGGGATCGCCATGAGTGTACCGGGAGCATTGAAGCTTTGGATCAGATGAGGTCCATCTCGTACCAGCCATGCGAGCACCTTATCAGCAAGTACAACTTGTACAACCACGAGCAGCTGTAACGATACGAGGGTGCTTGCCAACGCAACGCATGAATGAGTTGGACAAGTTCAGATCGTTGTCGCAGCTTCAGACCGGGATCTCATTTAGAAATCTCGGGCGATGAGCGGAGAGTGTTTTGAGTTCAATCGCAGACAGAGAGCAGGGTCGCCGAATCCGAATGGACAAAGCAATGACTTTGTGCATCTGGCACACAGCTTGGGTGAGCCGAGCTCCGCCTTCGCGAATGTTGCATCTCAAGGTTCTCGTCGCGATGCAGAGGTTAAGGCCGAAGCAAGGGTTTTGAGATGTTTTGACCCAATCGATACAGTTCTTCGATTACGCGTTGGCGCATTCTGAGATGATGAATGATCAGATCTATTCGCGACGATTTCACGCCATTTCCAGATTGGAAGATCAGAACATGCTGGTGGCCGAACCGGAGGTGCGAGCCGCCATGAATCGGATGATTGAGGAGATTAATTGCAGGGGCGAAGAGACTTTGTGCTTGCGATTGCAGTGCCCAAAGTGGGAAGAGCGCCACGATAGATATGTTTTTGCGAAGGACCAATGCGACGGCTCGCGAGAATGATGGGTTGCAAGCATGCATCAGCCATGTAACAGGAAAAGGAGGGCATTTACTTGCATCTCGAGGATTGTGGCTTCAAGACCACAATGTGAACGCATTGAATGGGGCGCGGAATGACATCGTGGAACAAAGCAATCGGATCATGCATGATCGCGATACATATGACGCGACCGTCAAAAAGCTACATGATCGCAACGAAGCAGCGATTCAGGCAGGGGATGAGCAGGCGCATTGTCCAATGTGTTGGATGAGACAGTAGTTGTATCTGACGAGTGACGGGTCATTCCCACCACTGGCCTCTTTCGGAATTGGGGGAATGGATGCTTACTGGCCCATTATTGCGAGAGCTACGTCATTGGTGTATGCATTTGACCAGGGAGGACGGGTATTGGTAGCAGGATTAGCAATAAGCAGCAGCAGTAGCAGCAGAAGTAGTAATGGTGATAGTCGTAGTATTACTGCTATGACTACGCCGATGACGATGACGACGACGACGACTAATACTACTACCAGCAGCGCGGGTATTTGCTGAAGGCGTTGGAAAATCGCCGAAACAGCAGAGCATGGAACTCGACAACAATATTCCGAGTGAGCCCTTAGATTCGGGACAACATACCTCTGCAATTAATCGCAAACCACGTTTACCGCTTCACTGCGAATTATCGTGAAACTCCGTTCTAACTAGCACCGCTTTCTCCGCGATCTTCCGAGTTCCGCTTGCTTTCAAGAAGAAAGCCTCCAATATTTGGAGGTTTTGGACGAGCGGAATTGAACACAGGAGACGGGGGGACACGCTACACGAAGGCAATCCTTTCCTGCATCCAGGAAAATATGGCAATTTCGGAGCAACCCTCGCCCTTCATCCAAGGAGCAACATGCCCCTACTCGCATCTCTGAAAAGCCCCCTGTGCTTGCTTCGGCGGCTTGCTGAGAACAAACCGCGTTCTCGCGAGGCATGGTTCAGTGCACTGCCGCGGTTAGACCCGGAAAGATGTGGCTCCGCAAAGCATGAACTGTTGATGCACGCTTTTCTCTCCTGAGGCCCATGGCTTGAAGTCTGCAGCATCCGGGAACGAGGTGAGGGACAGAAGGTTTTCATGCAAGTAGCATCGTGCTGCGTCGCAAAATTGGATGTTTGTTTGTTGTTTGCGAGGATCCCCTGGGTCTGAAACGGCGCGGTCGCCGCAGTCAGGGAGCCCAGGACCGACTCGTGGGGCATGTCGGACACAGGCCATTTGTGGCCTTCGGGTGCACAATCGCTAGAAGCTCCAAGACATCACCATCACAGCAGCCTGGCTGGCGAGGAGCGGTGCTCTCGCAGCCCTGGTCCTTGGGAGCCTTTGCCTGGAAACATCACAAAGAAGGATGGCTGGGGCAGGCGCGATAATGGCTGTTGGTTTGCAGTGTGTATAGCACATATTGCTGAGGTTCACGGCACGCCCTCCCCCAACTCTTTCGAGGGCTGGAGTTCGTGCTCCCTATGGCACAGAAAGCGATCTGGCACCCACGTCAACGGCTGCTTGGTGGCCTAAGAACCCCGTGTCAGCGTTGTCAGTTCGACATTATACTCCGCAGGTGATGCGGCTCCATTCCGCGCCTCCATTGCCTTACGGTTCGGAGACGGACGTTCCCCCACCGCCCCGCGGCTGCACCTCCATGCGCCCTATTACTGCCCCTGGGCATGAATGGCTGAAAGGAGCCCGCGTCCTCGCGGTGGCATTCCTTTGGGGATGAGCATTCCGGAGCTGCCGCTGCCAGGCGAGGGGACAAAACCGAACATGGCTCGCCATGGATCCTTTTTTCAGTTCAGGCCAGGATGCTTGCACTGGGGGCAGTGGAGACAACGAGGCTCCTGAGACTGAGCCTGCACCGCAACACTCACTGTGCGAGTGGCCAACAAGCCCAGAAGGTCAACGAGGCGGAGCCAGACACTGGTGGGACCGAAGTGCCCTGGGCCCAGCTGGGTGCTACGTTGGTCCCCGGCTCCGGATGGCCCGGCCATGCCCTCAGGCCAGAGCTCCCGCTGTCTGCGCGGAGCTGGCGGCCGGCTGAATCGCCCGGACGTAGGAAGGCGACCTATAGGGATGCGGCGGGCTGCGCGGTCTCAGCGGCGTACCTGAATTGGGGCTTGCAAAGTTTCGCCAGGCTACACCGAGAGCCTCCTCGGCTGACAGCCATCGCATTGGAAAATCGTTGATGTGCGCATCCTGAGCTTTGGCGGCTCTTCCTGCTGCATTCAGCTGCCTATACCTCTATCCTGTCAGGTCGTCAACCTTTGTTGAGAGGCAGGGCACCGTGCATCACCCTGAAATGAAGTACTGCAAGTAATGCGTGGCACCTTCTTGGTTGAGGCAGCGCCTGCGCAAGCCTCATTTCCATGCCAAGGTTTCGGTGGTTTGCACCCCTGAGCCAAAGGTCTAGCAGCCTTCGAGGTGGCTCCAGGCGTTTGCGATGGGCACAGTTGTGGCAAAACATGATCCCGCAATGGGACACCAGTGTGTCCCTTGCCCATAAGGTCTTCAGGTGGGAATCTCGCACCGCAGCTCAATCGCAAGCTCTCGGATCAGCCCAGGACGTAGCAAGGCTCTCAAGTCGCTGCTCTGGGCAGGGGAATAATAAGTGGATCGCAGGACGACGTTTCACTCCAGACCGTCAGGCCGGGCCCTTTCCACAGTCTCTGCACGGCCGACTGTTTGTCCACGCTCTAAGGCCACGGCCGGACCAGATTGCGGGACGTTGCCAAACCTACTCCTCAGCTGGATGAGGCGAACGTTTGGTGACTGGTGGGTAGCACGGGGTACCGAAAGTGTCACGCGTCATGGACTACGGAGGCCTACAACAAGTGTCTGCAGTCCATCAGTGAGGAGATCGAACAACTGCAATCCAGGCTTATGTGATGTCACAAGCAAAGCATCACATGCAGATCATGCTTGCCGCCGAGGTGTTTCCGGATCGAGCGAGAGGTGCAGAAGACGCGTGAAGAGAGCCTCGCAGCATGCGTGATTCGGATGGCTCTTGTCCTGGTTGCATCACATGCTCGATGCCATGCAGCCCAGGAATGGCATGCTCAAAGCCTCACAGCCCCAGTCGGGACAGGACGCGCCCGCTTTCATACGCGAACTAGTATCATTCATGTGATTGAGCTCAGATCGCCAGGACGATGACCCAGCGAGCTGAGTTCTGCAACTTCCGTCTCACCTCGACCCTGTCGCAACGCAATTCGACACATGTCGTCAGCCATCGCAATCTGAGCATCTGGGAGGTTTCCAAAGCACAATGCAGAGATGCCGCAGAAAGATGTAAAAGTATCGCATGCTAAGCCGAGCCGTTGACAGGTCATTGCTTCTAAGGAAACACAGCACAACCAGAGAGGTCAGAATTGATCTTGCTAGCTTCTGGAGGCCTCGGAATGCCTGAGCACCATGGATCATGGCAACATCACTGGCTTGCACCTAGCAAAATCTGGAAGGTGGAACACTGGAATCAACCTGGTATGCAGTTTTCTAGCGCAAACGATTTCGTATGCACGAGACGTCGACTCTGCCCAAAGACGGCTTCTTATCGATGTGCTTCAGACGCAGAGCACTTTTTGGTCGCGAAAGCGCTTCGCGATGCTTCACGCTTGCGGTTCGACACCTCTTGGAAGCTTACGGCAGCCGAAACCTACAGCAAGGAATTGGCAGTTGTTGCGTAGTATCAACGACCGGGGCCAAACTAGTGCGCGACAAGGGATCGATTCGTCTGAATTTTCAAAACCTGTCATGATCTTGCCCTGCATGTTCGGCTTGGCAGGAGACCATGAGATACCGGTACAGATCGACAACAGGGACACTGCACAACCTGACCGGAAGAAGAAGCTGAAGAGAAGTTACCGAACTGCTCAGGGGCTCTACTCCCAGCAACACTTTTGACATGGGCTGATGTTGCCTGATACTTGTTCATATCCCCGTGTGTCGACGTCGACATTTCGACAATGTAACACAGACACGCTTCAGTAAGGAGAAATTGCCGTCTCATCAGAAGCGTCAGACGCAGCTCAGCCCGGCACTGCGGCCTCATAGCTTGGCCGCCATGGATGCTACCATTGAAGGCTTCGTGAAAGCCCTCGGAGGCGGTGTCGGAGCGCTCTTCTCAACGACGGTGCTCTACCCACTGGAGGTCACCAAGACGAAGGCTGGGCACACCCCAAAGTGGGACTCCTTCGCTTTCTGAAGTCTGCGGAGGTGCAGGCCTTTGCAGGAGAAGCAAGTACGGATGAGGGCTTCGATGAGGAGAAGCATCAGGCAAGGAATGTCTTTGCACTAGTTATGCAATGGAACATGCATGAGGCCTCTGAGTGTTTCGCAAGCTCCCCGGCTCCCACGGGTTTCCGCGCACCGGGGGACTTGACTCCTGACATTTGGAGTGACACCCTCGCGCTCTCTGTCTGTCTCTGTGTCTCCGTGTGTGTGTGGGTGTCTCTCTCTCTGCCCTGTCCAGAACTACCCAGAGCCACTGACCGCTGCAGTATTTTCTCAAGAACCTGAAGGGTCCTACCAGTAGTCTGCAAGAAAGGAATCGGAAACCCCTCCTCGCGCGCTTCAGAAAGACGGAAAGAAGGAGTGTGCGGCCTAAGTAAGTTTCAACCAGGACAGGTACCTGCTGCTCGCGAAGGGGGAGAGGTCCCAACGCAGTATGCGCGCGAATTCACGTACAGAGTCCATGGCGATCGTCTCATGTGCTGTCCGTTTCCCGTAGAAAGTGCCGTGCATTTCCAAGTTCCACTCAAAGTGGACTGCCTCACAAACACATTACATGCTTGCGGTTCCTGGCACAACGGCGTGTAGGGGCTGTTTCGAAGGCGGGGAGGCAGACCTGGCTCAGAAACATACGAAGGCACGTCTTTACAACCATATGCAGGCTTTGTCTGGCCTGGGCACAGTTTCTCTCTCCTGTGTTTGTTCCCGCCTGCTTGCACTCGAATGCCTTCTTCGGGTACATCCACGGCTTGGGGACGTCCGCAGTGCTTCAAACGAGATGGTACTGTTGATGCAGGAGTGAGCCTAGGTTGGAACATCTTTGTGCTGTTCTCATCGACACTCACGAGGAATTTCACCGGGCAGCAAAGAGAAACAATCCTTCCCACGTAGGAAGCCGATGGAGCAGGTCAAGCCCTTGACAATAGGTGTAATTTTCGGGGTCCTATACTGGAACTGGAGCCGCACACCAGGCCATGGGCAACACGTTCCGGGCACTGCACTACACGTGGAAGAGGGAAGGTTTTCAAGCATTGCTGGCCCCCTGGGCACCCGGCTGGCCGAGCACTTGCCTGGACCGGATTGCACAGCTTGCTCAATGCGGAGCGCTAGTCAGTTTTTGCGACGGAGTCGCACTATGTCTATAGTGAAGATGCGTTGCAGGACCAATTCGTCTTCAACTTCGTGTACTACTACTTTTACGAGTCCTTCATGGCTCTTTGGCGAACCCTTGTTGGCCGAATATCGTACCGTGCGAACATGCTCATTGCCACCGCTGCAGGACTTCGGCATGTTCGAAAACACCTTATGTTTACTTGCCAGGCTGCACAAATCATTGCTTGGCAGATCGTGGCTGGATGTGCCAAACGTCCCGAGGCGGCGTTTCTGCTGACGAATGGCATGCAGGTCTGTAACGATCGTTAATAGGTCTGAACGATGGTGGAGTTTGCCCAACATGTTTAAGCGAGTATTCTAACCATTCACATTGCAGGGGACGAATTGCGAGCACAATAGAACCATAGACTGTGGAAGAAAAGAGAAAACGACACAGATGAACACAAGGGAAAAGGCACAGGTTAACAAAATCCATGTGTTTTCGAGCTAGGACAGAGGAACCAAGACGTACAGGAGAAGGAAAATGCAGGCTCTGCATAGGAAGCGCCAAAGAAAAGACATGGATAAACATGAAAAAAAGTCACTGGCGAGCCCAAACGAAAAGGCAGAGGCCAGCACGAAAAAAACTACCAAAATGACAGTCGCTCCGGTTAGAAGTCTGCTAGCCACTACAATCATGGTGTTCTGTATGTGTCTGTTTGTCTATTTGTTCTAGAAGTGATGGATCCTCGGAGGTTCCGATAATTCCCCCACATCGACCGAGCAAGATGTACGGTCACACATCACAGTGATGGTCCCGTACAGGAGCAGTCATGCAGCTCACCACGTTGCCCTTGCAGAACCATTCTACCAGGATGCAGACGCAAACTGAGCGACGAGGCAATTGGGCCACAGCTCTTAGCATGTACAAGGAGGATGGCCTGAAAGCTTTCTACAAAGGCCTTTTGCCTTGTTTGCTGCTGTCCGTGAACGCGTCGATTCAGGACACGATCTATGACACCATCAAAAATGCATGGCTGAGGCGAACAAACCGGAAGAACGCTGGTGCTGGCAGCATTCGCATCGGATTGACGGCTGGTCAGGCATTTTGGCTTGGATTGGGGAGCAAGCTCATTGCTTCTACAGTTTGCTATCCGCTGACTCGCGTGAAGCAGATGTGCCAAGCACAGACAAAGCGATCGAAGCACCGGCAAGAGTGCCAAAAAGGAGATGTGGCTGCACAACCCCTCAACATGTTCGAGATGGCGATCAAAGTTTACAGAGCAGATGGCTTGCGAGGTTTCGTGTACGGCATTGAAGGGCAAGTCTTCAATGCTTCTTTGAAAGCAGCGTTAAACAGAATGGTTAAAGAGCGCATTCAAGTTCTTGTTTTCTTCCTTCTGTTGCCAGACAGATTTCGCAAGATGCGAGAAGCTGCTGGACTAGAAGCTGGGGCGTAGAGGCATAGAGCGAAAGTACTAGGCGCAGGTTTAGAGGTCCGGGACGACGCCTTCTAAACAGAAGTGGGGAAGCAGCAGGCAGAAAAAAGTGGTTCTTGACAGCAGAGTTGCCATGTCGTAGCTCACTGCTTGCACAGCCTTGCGCATCGGCCTCGCGTGTGGATCTCTTGCTCGCCGCGATCACCTGAGAGACTTTCGGGCTCAGCACAAAACCCTCGGTTAATGACATGACTTCAACCTATGCACGGCATAGAAACTCTTTGGCAAGAGCCCCAACCCCTGAAGGCAGAGTGAAGTGGCCGCTGTTGTTTTGTCAGACACCACCCCAGATGACTGCCCCTCGTATTTATCGACAGCATATATGACATATAAGTAGTCTTTATGGGTTTAGTGCGAGCCGGTGCCACATCAAGTGGATAGGCATTGGCTACCAGTAGCGCAGGTGCAAACTCCAGTCTCTTCGATTTAGATTTCGTGCTCTGCGAGAGTCCATGTCTGCGAACTCAGTAGATGCGCTTCGAAAGGTGCGGGTTGCACAGGGCTCGACAACACTCCCGATCCGATTGCAAACGTAATCCTGCGGTTGGCACGTACAGCCCGTTCGCCAATGTTTGCGTCGGTGGAAGTGAGTTGTCTCCGTGGACATTGGCTGGGTTCCGGGAACTTGCGAGAGCTTGAGGGTGACTGCACAGTCACCACACCGCCTAGGATTACTTCAACGTGTTTTCGTTTGCGCTTGGCCCAAAGGCCCAAACACGACAACATGCTGTAGGGAGAGAGGCTCCGCCGGAAGGCATCAGAAACGTGGCCTCCAGCAAAGCAACGGCTTCGGTGCGGCAAGTGACATCCGCCTGAGACAATATATCGCTTCAGATCGCTCTGCGCAATGCTTAGCCCCTCAGTTTCTCGAGGCAGCCTCAGTGTTTTTCGTATGTACTGTAGTTGTCAAGCCTAACTTTCCCCAATTCCCAATCCCAGCTGACTTGCTTCTATGGTTGCCTGTGCCCCTTGCTAAAAGGGCAGAGGGCCACTCAAAGACGAACTAGCATCGACACGCGGTTCCTTTTGTCAGGCCTGGCTCCAGCAAGAGGCCAGGCTTGGGCAGGGAGTTCGTGGGTCCACATTCGTATCTCGGTCGGATCCGGAGCGGATGGGCAAGATGAAACTAAACGACACTTAGCTCTTCGTTTTGTGGTCATATACCCTCTGCTTGGTACCGATGCGAGAGGTGGGCAGCTGACCATAAGGAGTACAGGTGGGGCCTTCCCGCTTCAGCCATGGAAATTGACCGCGCGGCAAGGCAACGCCAGATCCTTGCGCCCTACTCCAGCGATCAGGCCATGGGGCAGAGTCGCAGTGCTCGCCGATGCTCGCGGTCATCTTCAGAATTTCCGATGCTTCCAACGTCGCAAGGCTCAAGTTTCAGCACGTCGGTTTTTCGGCTTCGCAGTTCTTCAGCTCGCAAGCATGTTTCGTGCGCTGCTGCTGGGGGTCTCGTCTCTGTGGCTCTGCCATGCTATGCCAAATACCACGGGCAAGATTTGCCAGTGGGGCTGCTATGATGAAGAGGACGAAGCATGCCACCCAGGGCTTACCAACATGGCTTGCGCGGAGATCTACGGGCATCTTGTCATCGGGAGTGCTTGTGGCTCAACCACTTTTTCTGCCTAGTCCTCCTGTCCTTGAACATGTTAAACGGGCACCCGTCTTGTTTTCTCAAGCATTCAGGCACGTGGAGTGGATCCAGGTGTGCGACTGCGTAGACGAGGCGACGGGCCTGCGTGATAACATCACAGTCGCGGCGCCGAGGCTGGCACCCGCAAATCTGTACTTTTCGGTGCCTGCCTTCGTCGTCCTCTTCCGTGAGAGCTTGGAGGTCGTGATTGTCCTTGCCATCATCATGCAGTTCCTGACCAAGATGAAGAACGACGGCCTCCTTGAGGTGGGTCTCTTCTACAAGTTCCGCCGCGAGGTCTACCTCGGAGCCTCCTTAGGCTTTGCTCTTTGCCTGCTCTTCGGGGTGGGCTTCTTGGCCCTGGCATCCTTGACCTACCAGCTTTTTGATGGCGACAACGAGCGAATCTTCCAGTTCTGCATGATGAGCCTCACTTGCATTGTGCTGACCTTCCTCGCAGTGAATTTCTACAAGATGATCTACTCCAAGGAGGCCCACGAGCGGAAGATGAAGCGACAGATGGAGGAGACACTCGAAGCGACGCAGGCGGGCACAGGTGGGGGAGAGGTGGCTTTTGGGAAGAAGCATGCCTTCTTTGTCTTGGCCTTCACCACGGGTCTTCGCGAGGGCTTAGAGTCGATCGTGTTCCTCGTGGGCGTCATCTCAGATGTTAAGGATCTCAGTGCCCTGCCCCTGCCGATCATCAGCGCCCTCGTCTTGGCACGGCTTGTTGGGTGCTGTTTCTTCCAGGGAACGAAGGGTCTGAAAGTGGACTGGTTCATGCGGGTTTCAGCTGTACTGCTCATGTGCATCGCGGCCGGCTTCTTCTCGGCATCCATGCACCAGCTCCAGGAGCTGGACGTCTTCGGCACATGGAGTCCAAGATCCGAGCGGCCCTGGCAGAATGTGAATGTTTGGGATGCTACGGAGTGCTGCAATGATAAGACGAATCGATTCTTCGTCCTCATGAGGGCTCTCTTCGGTTGGCAGGATCAGGCAACACCCGTCGAGATCATCGCCTACATCTTGTACTGGGTCGTGGCGGCCATCATCGTCAGCCTCATGGTGTGGCATGCTAAGAAAAAGATGCAGAAGATGGTGGAGAAATGGCGCTTGGAAGATGAGGAGGCCTTGAAGAAGTCCCGGGAAGAGCCTACGACCATCGGCCATCAAGCCGAGGATGAGAAGGCTGAGCTTTGAACCCAGGATTTGGAATGTACAGTCGGGGTCATGTCAGTTAAAGCTGTTCAGAGAAGTCTGTAATTATGCGCACGGGCCCCACGACACCGGTATCATGACTTGTCAGTTGAAAAGGCTGTTCTTAACCCGTCCAAAGCCCCACGATGCCCATGTTTCTGCATCTCTCTGGCCGTCACAGCCCTCAGTTTTGCCGGTACACCTCGCTGCCGGCTGGCCATGCGCTACTCATGAATGCCAGCTCGGCAGCTAGAAGTACTTCACAGTCTGAGTTATTTTCCATGTTTTGCATGCCGCGAAGGTCTTGTAATCTTTGCGGCTTTTTTAAGCAGGATTTGTAAGGGTACTGGAAGGTTGCTGTAGGGAAATAGGCCAAGGACCGGCTACGTTCTCCCCTTTCTCGTTCGGCAAACATTCCGGTCCAGAAATTTTCATCAGCAGAGGCATCTGCGATTTTGTCATGCTGTCACTGGCATTATTTCCGGCGGATGCTGAAAGACCATGCCTGATGGATGGACTTTCAACATGTTGCAAGGCATGCCGCGGAAGGTCCTATGATCAATGTGCTTCTCGATAAAGACTTGTAATGTGCTGGAAGGTTGCTGAAGGGAAGCTGGCAACGGCTCAAGCTGCCCGCTTCCCTTGTTGCAAACAAACCTTCCAGTCCAGGAAGGCCTGGAGCCTTCAGATTTGTAAGGGGTTTCGGAGAAGGTGTGCGCTGGCATCGCAGTGCGAAATAGGTGCGAAATAGGCCAGCGTACCGCTTCGCGGTTGTCAAGAGGTCATGCCGCAGAAGGTCCATAGTCCTTGATCTGGCGGGTTGCTGAAGTCTCATAGAAGTAAAGGGCAGCAAGTTGAGTCCCGACCCAAGTGCAGAGGCGTCTTGCGAGATGGCAGCCACACGCTTGACGCTGATGGTCGCAGGCGCTGAGGCAGGGGCTTGGGCGGCTTGGGGATATTGGAAGATCTGGGATTGTAGCACACCCTGGACACAAGCCTCCGCTTCATGCTTCATCGGATCTGAAACCTGTCTCCACGCACAGCCCCACGCCCAAAACCCTTATTTGCCCTGCCATAAACCCTAATCCTGGTACTTCGAGGATCAAGCGATCAGAGCTTCGGGCGATTGGGTTTAGGATTGGGGATGTGGGCTGGGGCTGGGGAGGTGAAGGGTTTAGCGATCCTTGGATTTCTGGGTACGCGGTAAACGGTTGAAGATAGTGGAGAAATGGGGCCAAACCCTTGGCAACCTTGCAACACTTGTAGACACTCTAGCAAGATTGCTAAGAACGGTTTAGGGTTTAGGGTTTAGGGTTTAGGGTTTAGGGTTTAGGGTTTAGGGTTTAGGGTTTAGGCAGATTAGGGTTTAGGG